AGGAGAGGGGCGCGGGGCACAGTCCCGCAGGCGGCGGGCGCTGCCACTCGGGCGGCCCGTCAGGGTCTCACGGAGTTAGGTATGAACTCTGACACAGCCAGGCCGTCCCACTCCCAAGTGTATGAATTGTAACTTACGTTCACAAAGGCTTTGCCCCTGAGAGTTCATGGCAGCGTTATTCACAGCCCCGAGGGGGGAAAACTGCAAAAACTGTCCCCGTGTTTGTGAATGGATAGACTCATTCTGGTGGAATTCTACCCTGCAGCAAAATCCAAGGAAGAAAACAAAGCGCTGTCCCAAGTAAAAGAAGCCAGACGTAAAGGCGGCAAACTCTGCGATTGCAGGTGCGTAGATTTTGTAGGAGAACTAGAGCAGCAGAAGGTGGACGGGGCGGAGGAGGGGCGGGGGGGGGGCGGTCCTGGATCCCGCCGCGGGCGGACGCGGCCCAGCGCACACAGCTGTCTACAGCCATGGAACCGGACGCTGAAAACCAAACCACAGCTTGTCGTCTCATTGACCTCAGTAACAGAGGGCACAGAAAGCTGAACGTATACATTACTGAGGACCCCACAAATGGGGTGCACACACGTGAGGCAGCTCACAACAGCTTTGTTGGTAACATCCCCAAACTGGCAACACGGAGACATTCCACAGGCCTCCAGTCGAGAGAAGCAGCCGGACACAGCACGGCCCGGATCCGAGTCCCCAGTCCCGAAGTTCGGAAGACCAAACCCAAACGCTTAAACAAAGACGGGGAGGGGCCGTGGAGGAGGTCGGCCGGCCCGAGTCGGCCGGGAGGGGGCAGCGCGGGCTCCCGTCCCAGGTTCTGCTTCTGACCTGCAGATTTTACGCACCTTTCTGTGGCTCTGCTGTACCTCACAAGGCAGCGGTTTTTAAAATAACGAGGTGCGTTCTCGTGTCCCCAAGATCTCGCGGGCCCTGGTGCTGTGAGAAGAGGTCGTCCGGTTCGTCGGCACCTGACCCCGGGGGGGCACTGGGGTGCACATGGCGCGTCCGTGAGGGACGATCAGCGTCGCTTGTTCCTGCAGAAGACGGGGCTGGCGGTCAATAACGAAGAAAAGTCTGAGTGTTTAGTTCATTAAAAAGACACAGGTTAATAACCCTGAGAGATAAATAATATATGTGAAAAATAGTTCGACTCAGCCAAATTCTCTGAAGCCAGTGTTCTGCGAGGTCGGATCTGAAACACCGACAGGCACTCGAACAGTAAAGTGTGGCTTAAAGGCGAAGGGCAGACGGTCCCCGGTTGACGCGGGGCCCCACACAACGGCTTCCTGACTCACGTGTGGGATCTCGGGGGTGGCACCAGCTAACAGTTACGCAGGTTCCTGGGCCAGCTCTGTAAGACATCATCCGTGTAGGTGCCGCGTGCTCGCCACCCCGTTTGTCCAGGGCATGGGGGGTGAACTCAGGGTTAGGAGCCTCGTCTGTGGCCAGGGCCCTGTCCAGAAGGGCGGTGACACGTCCCACCTGGCGGTGCTGCGAGGGCGCCTGGGAGTGTGCGTGGCGCACTGTGGGCTCTGCGGTGTCTGAAGTAGCTCCTCTTTACCCAGCCACCTGCAGGAAGTCACCTTCCACCAGCAGGAGGCTTCCTTCCATGTTAACACCCGCCCAGGCACCTGACGGTGGACTCACCTGTGCAAGGTCCTTGGGGCTGGGGCGGGGCAGCCTGCTGCAGGTGCTTGGGAGAGAAGAGGCCTTGGGGGGGGCGCTGGGGGCTGGGGAAGGGTTCCCCCCGGAAAGCAACAGGATCAGCTTTCGAACGTGCTTGGTTGCTTCCATGCACACCACTGGTCAGAGGGCCTCGCGGTGAGGGGGGCAGCTACGGGGACCCTGGGAGCCCAACAGACACCCACACGACAGGACCACAAACCCACACACGGCCACCCCCCCTCCTGCAGACACAGGCATTCACGAGGGGAGACAGCCGACTCTGCCGAGTGCCTGGCCGCAGGGGCAGCAGCCCACCCAGGATCTCAGTCAACAGAATGAGCAGCGGGACGGTGGGGGAGACCACTTGTTCCCCGCCCCCCAGAGGGCCTCCACCGCCCCAGCCCGCAGGGCAGGGCAGGGTGGCGGTGCTCCGTGTGAAACTCACTCCCAGCACGCCCTGCCCTTCCAGGGTCTCCCCATCCTCAGGGTGAAGCCCAAACTGGCCCAGCTCAAGATGCTGCTGGTGGGCACCTGCTGGCCACTCTCAGCTCCAACTTCCCTCAAGTCCCACTTCTCCCCCAGGGCCGTGGCTCTCCCTCCTCCTGCTCCCTCACCTCAGCAGCAGGTGGTGCCTGGCCGGTGTCACACGACACTGTGCTCCCTGGGAGCAGGAGCGGGCTGACGTTTAGATTCTGCCACAGGACGGTGACCCAGGGCTGGCTGCAGGCCAGCATGCATCCTGTGCAGCCTGGGCTGGGGGAAGGCCTGGTAGGGGGTGAGCTGGAGATGGACCCCGCCCGCACAGAGCCCTCAGCCTGGTGGGGACACAGATATCTGGACCCCCAGGGAGACCATGCCTGGTAGGAGGAGCCTCTGCCAGCCACTGGGGCCAGGGAGCTGGGGGGGAGGGCGGGAGGTACAGGGGAGGTAGGGGGCAGGGAGATGGGCGCGGGGACAGTGCAGCAGGGGGAGGCAGGGAGGTCTGGGGCCGCAGGCAGGCGTGCAGGGCTGCGTGCTGGCTGCACAGGGCGGACATTCAGGGGAGCCTCCCTGAGGATAAGGAGGCTAAGGGCACCGGCCGAATGAGCGGCCCACGCCAAGCACTGGCTAGTGTCTGGAGGAGGCAGGCAGCCCACGGAAGTTAGTTCCTCTCTATGAGGCTGTGGCAAGGGGAACCCACTGCAGGCAGAGGGGGCCGCACACGCAGGCTGTGCCAGGGAGAGGCGCGGTGAGCGGGCGGAAGAGGGAGGTGGTGGGGGCGGAAGGGCCCCGGGAAAGGCTGGGGGCCCGGGGAGGAGAGAGAGGTCAGGGCTCGGAGAAATGCTCCCCCGCTGCCACCGCCCAGCTCGGCGTGGGTTCTCCGGCCGCACAGCCGCCGCCTGCAGTGCCCCGCCCCCACGCCCGGCTCACTTGCGCCCCCAAAGCCAAATCGATCTGACTGTAAACCTCGTTGCCCTGGAAACTGAAATAATCTTTGGAAGTCAGCTCATGGCAACTCCACTCACGCGCGTGGGTGTCACGGTTATTAGGCGAGCTGGTTTACACTGTCCTTTTAAACCCTGCGCGGCACCGAAGGGAAAGGCGGCGCGCTCTCCCTGCCGTTCCGGGCAGTCCTGGCGCGGGGGGTGGGGGCGGGACGAGGAGGTTCAGCGGCTGCTGTGAAACCTGCCGAAACACGCAGAAACGCGCTCCTTCCCGCCGCGGCCGCAGTTCGAGTCAGTCCCACGCAAATGTGCCGAGAGCCGCGGAACGGCCTTTGCAGACCCACTGGGCAGATGGTTTCCTCCACCGGTGGGCGAGGGGCCCTGTGCGCGCGCGGCTGGCGAATGCGGGCGCGGCTTCGACCGGGCGGCAGGGGCCTCTGGGGGCTGTGCCGCTGTTCACCAAACGCCAACGACCCTGCGCGCGGAGGGCGGGAGGCTGTGCTCCCCGGGGGCGTCTCCACAGCTCGAGCTTGCAAGTGGGCGGAGGAGCGAAGGTGTGTTCTCACGGCGCCCCGACACGCGCGCGCACACACCCGCGTCCCCTCGCAGCAGCCACGCCCGCCTCTCCGGGATCCAGCGCAAAGTTATTTACCGCTGCGACCAGCCGGCAGGGCGAGTCATCGGCCTCCCGGGCCTCCCGCTGCAGCGGCAGGAACGGCGCGGAAGGAACCGGGCGCAGGCCTAGCCGCTCGGCCCGTGGGACCTCTGCGCACCTTCCAGAGACGCCCCCTCCCCGGGTCTACTTTCGGGAAGCGGATGGAGAGCCCGGAGCCGCTCGGGAGAGGCCATCTGTCCCGCCGCCCCCATTCGCGCGCCTCCCTCCCACCCACCTTGCGATCTCTCGGTCGGAACGAGGCGATTTAACCCCCATCCCCTCCACCAGATGCACCCAGGCTGTGCACCGATTTCGAATGCGTTAACTCACAACCGCCGGCGTCTGGGGGAGGGAACGCCTGCCCGACCGGGGAGAAGGGCTGGTCCGAGGTTCTGCGTGAGGCTTCACCTCTAACCACCCACCCGCCGCGCGCGCGCGAGCCGGTGCCGGTCAGGCCGCGCGGGCTGGTCGCGGCCCCCGAGCTCCTCCGCCCAGACTCAGCCGGCACTCGGGCGGCCCCCTCTCGGGCTCGCCTCCCCTCCTCCGTCCCCTTCCCCCCAGGCTCTCCCCCGTACGCCGCCCCCCCGCACCGGGCTCCCCGCTCTCCGGTCTCCCCGGCAACCCAGCTAACTTCCTCAGGCCTCGTGGCCTCCGGCCAGCGGGTGGACGAGGAGGGCGGCCTGGCCCGCGTTGTCAGAGAAGCGTGGACGTGCCGCGCGGGAGGTGGGAGGTGCTGCGGGTGGGGCTTGGGGGCTCCTGGGTAGGGAGCCCCGGGGCGCGCAGCGGCGTTGGCTAAACGGCCAGGGGCGCACACACCGGGAGGAAGGTGGACAGAGGCGCGGGGGCGGGGGGCGCCCTCCGCTTGAGGAGGCGGCGGAGGGGCATCCTAGGGGCTGCGGGGCTGGGGGGCGGGGCTGGGCGGCGCCTGGTCCCGGCGCGCCGGGCGCGGGCGGGGTGCCCGGAGCCGCGCGTCCTGGGAGGGGCGCCGCGGGCTGGGGAGGGGGCGCGCGCCCTGCGCTCCTCCTCGCCGCATCGGTTCCCGGAGCGGGGCCGCGGCGGCGGCGGCAGGAGGCGGAGGATGCGGGCTCCGGCGGCGGCGGCGGCGGCGGCGCGGGCCCGGGAGGACGCGGGAGGATGAGGAGGAGGCCGGCGGTCCGGCCGCGCGGCGCCGGGAGGAGGCGCAGGCGGCGGGGGCGGCGGCGGGCGGCGGCGGGCGCGCGGGGTGCGGGCCGGCTCGGGCGCGGAGGATGAAGTGGAGCGTCCGCGGGGCCTGCGCCGCGCTCTCTTCCTGCCTCCTGCTCGCCTGCGCGCTCAGCGCCGCCGCCGTCGGCCTCAAGTGCTTCTCGCTGGGCTCGGAGCTCCGCGGGGAGCCGTTCCGGCTGGGGGCGGCCGCCGGTGCCTTCTACTCAGGGCTGCTGTTGGCCGCCGGCCTCTCGCTGCTCGGCGCCGCCCTGCTCTGCTGCGGGCCCCGGGAAGCGCCCCTTGCGGGGCCGGGGTCGGGCCCCGGGCTCCGGGTCTCCGCAGCCCCGGGAGACTCTCCAGAGGCTGCGCCGGGGGAGCCGGGGGCCGCAGCCGGGCCCCCGGGACCGGTGAACAGCCAGAACCTGCTCCTGCTCGGCGTCCTCGTCTTTATGCTCGGCGTCCTCAGCGCCTTCGCGGGCGCGGTGATCGACGGCGACACCGTGTCCCTAGTGGAGCGCAAGTACTCCCACTACTGCCTGCCCCCGCGCGCGCCCGCCGCGGCCCCCGGCCCCGCGGCGGCCGCCCCGGCCCAGCCCCCGGCGCGCCGCGCGCCCGCAGCACCTTGGACAGCGCCACGTCCGCCAAGTGCCGCCAGCTGAAGGACTACCAGCGGGGCCTGGTGCTGTCCACCGTCTTCAACTCGCTCGAGTGCCTCCTCGGCCTGCTCAGCCTCCTGCTGGTCAAGAACTACAGGTCGTCACAGGCCCGGCGCGGCCGGCGCGGCCGGCGGAGGGGCAGTCGGGCCCTGGCGCGGCCCCGCAGCGGCCCGGGTCTCCGAGTGCAGCTGCCAGCCTCCCGGGTGCGGCGGGGCCGGAGGGGCCGGCGGGGCCGACGGCTGCAGCCGCGCCCCAGCGAGGCTTCCATTCTGTCTCCGGAGGAGTCGGACTTCGCCGCCCCAGGGGACTGCGTGGGATTCGCGGCGAACCACGCTGTCTCCTACATCAACGTGGGCGTCTCCCACGCGTCAGACGAGGCAGGTGTGGAGGTGTGCTGCGGCGGGCACCCGTCTGTGGAGCTCCCGGGCTATGCGCCGTCGGACCCCGACCTCAACGCCTCCTACCCCTACTGCTGCCGGCCGCCCTGCGAGGCAGCGCGCCCCTGGGAGCCAGGCCGGGTGTGCTGAGCCCGGGACAGAACGCGCAGCGTGCTTCCCAGCCCGCCACCACCGCGAGGAGGCCGGGGCTGGCGAGGCGCGGAGTCAGGCCTCGGCCTTGGGGGCGCATCTCCAGGGCCTGTCAGCCCAGCGTGAGGCCTCCCCGCCATGAGAATGGCCCTCCTGTATTATCATTTCTGTGTCTGGGAGGTTTCTCTTCTTTTCTGTGTCTCTTCGTATCCGGATTCCATTTTAAAGTTTACAATAAATGTTTGGGGTTAGCTCACCTCAACCGCACTTCTCCTTGGCAAGTCCGTCCCCAGGGGCAACACTCCCAGGTCCCTCTGAGAGCTGCCGCGCAGGGCGATCCGGCGGGAGGAAGACTCCTCGGCCCAGAGGACCGAAGGACAACTTCAGGAAGGAAGGCGCGGGAAGCACCCGACAGCAACACTTTGTACACGGATGTGCCTGCTTTGTTGATAATTTCTTACTGTAAAGCTCCATAAACAGTGGAAATGTTTGGTAAATTTATTGCAATTTAAACTTGGTGAGTCCCTTTGTTAAATCAGTTGCTATGCTATTGGAACTGGAGGGTGTCTGCACACAGACCCAGGTGGGGGGAATGGCTGAGTCGGCCACTCAGATGTGGGTCCCAGCAGCTGCGGTCTGCTGGTGGGCAGGCCGAACCGGCCTCCTGTGACAGGAGCGAGCTGTACCAGGTCCCGTATGTGTCTTTTTTTGGAAACTGGTGATGAGGTTCCTATGGCAAAACGGGCTTATTTTTGGTTAATACATGTGAACAACCCAATCCTATTTTGGAAAACCACAGTCATAGTTTTTTCTGGCAAAGATTACTTTCCTGTTGACTAATTCATTAATCTGGGAATTGGAGCCTCGTGGCATTTCATTTTAAATGTGCCCCCTAACTGACGTGAAGGCCACAGTTTTAAAGCGTCAGGACGTGTGTGCGCACCTCCACGCACCGTGTGAAGTGCCTTCATTCACGTGACGGTGAGGACGCTGGGACGCCAGTGTCCGTCCATCCTGGCGGCCTGGCTGGGAGCCAGGCCGGCTGAGCCTCGGGAGAGGTGGTCAGTTCCCACACGCTGGAGTTGTGGCGCCAGGCAGGTATGCGCTGACTGGGACTGGCCTAGAGCAGAGCCCTCCCTGACACAAGGTGGGGGGGCTCTCCTGCAGAACGAGGTGGGGGCACACTGGTGCTCTCCCAGGGGCGCGCACCGTGAAAACCCTTAAGGTGAGGAAAGCAAACGACTGAGACGCATTGGTAGTGCTGAGTGTCCAGTCTCCAGCTGGGGGCGAGTGCCTGGACTCAGGGGTGGAGGCAGAGTTTCCAAGTGCAGGCCCCGGGCTGAGACCTCCCCCCAGCTCCCAGGCACTGTGGGCAGGGCCAGAGGTCCCCCAGGCCCCGGATGACATCAAGGCCACATCCTGGCTGGGATGTGGCCAGGCTGCCGCCCTGCCACAGAGGAGTGCAGACCTGTCACCATGCAGCAGTGATAGACCTACTGGCCTGATATTCCGTGTCTATGAAACTCGAGTATCTGATCGAAGAGGCAATGAGCCAATGTCCCCTCCTTGACACGTCAGTGCCACCAGAGGAGAGATGGTCACTCACGTCTAGTGTGCTGGGTTCTCTTCATGTGCGTGTGCACATCGGGCCTCCAGACTGGCCAGGCTGGGAGCATGGCCACGCAGCCCCGCTGGTCCTTGCAGCCTGAATCTCATCCCCACCCCGGCCATCAACCTAAAGCAGCAAATGGGACAAGTGGCAGCCAAAGTGGTTGTGAAAGCATTTTCCAACTGCTTCAGTCGCCGCCAGGCCCTTACTGCTCCCTGGGCAGGTCTGACCTGTGTGGTAGGGGGCTGGTCAGGGAGACCCCAGCGGGGGGCAGGGTCTGGAGGGGCACGCGGCACAGGGACACGAGGCATCAGACCTCCCCGGACCCTGTCCTCTGAGCTGGTTCATTTCACACGCTCTGTGCAGCTTACACGTCAGATGCCTTATGCATCTCAAACTCGAGTGGAAACCAGCAGCTCTCTGAAGTGTCAGGCGGGTCTTGCGATGGAGCAGAAGGCAGACCGGAGCCAATGGGGCGCAGGGCCAGCAGCAGGGCACCTTCGGTGGGGGCGTCTGGCCACGCACAGCGAGCCTCTGGGCCGGACAGCCGCTGTGCCCCTGGGGAACTTCTGTGTGACCAACGAACCAGGCGACAGTTTTTCAGGTGCCAGTGTTTCTAACTTCAGTGTTTCTAACTCTAACTGACATAAGGACGTGAGATACCCGAGTTTTATTTTTGAAAGTTTAATACAGGAAACAAAGTTCCAAGTATCCCTACGCTGAAGTCATTGCCGAGTGCGGTCCTCAGAGAGCGCGTGGGTCGCAAAGTCCCCCCGCAGCCTGTGATCAGGACCAGCTTCCCCAGAGCACTCCAGCCTCGGGGCCACCGCACCCCTGAAGCCCTCCCTCCGCACTCATGCTGCCCTGCACAGTGTGAGCCAGTCCTTTCAGAACTGGTTTTCTGCACTCTGTGGAAAACAGCGCCAGTTCCCGGGCCTTTCCTAAAATGGGTCTTATTCTGCTTCTCAGAACAATAGTAAATTCTTGGTGTGCTGGGGGTCCGACCCAGAGTTTATTATGATGATGAAACACCAAAATTAAACACGTTAGCATTTTTGCATGGCATAACGCTGAGTCTTTATGTCGTCTACACAGAAAGGTGGTTTCCTGTTAAGGGAGCACTTTGTTGCGGTGACACTGGACACACTCTAGGCCAGCCCCGAGTCCTGAAGGACGGCGCCTGCCCACGCTCAGCTCCTCAGTCAGAGGGGCTCTGCCCTCGGCAGCACAGACCCAGACTGGCTTTCTGGCTGAAATTCAGTGAAACAATCATTTACTTTTAAAAAATCAGTCAGATGGTGTTGGTGGAGAAGATCAAACCGCTGATGGTTACATTTTTATTCCTGGTGGGTGTCAGGACCCAGTGCAGGCGGAAGCCTCCAATGCGAGTACCCACCCACACACATGTGCACAAAGACCCATACATCCCTGTGCACATGTGCACACATGCACACAAGTGCACACACAGGCACACACAAAACGCAGAACCACACGGTATACGCACATGTGGGCACATCACACGTGTGCACAGATGTGTGTGCTCACACTGCCTCCAGAGTGCATCTGAGGGGCTCCCTGCCACAGCTCTGCAGGTGTGCATGTGAGGAGCGTGTCCTGGGGGTAGCTGGTGGGTGCTGAGCCACACGGTAGCCCTGCCACAGCCCGGTGGGGCAGGTGGGGGTGTGCCCCTCACCAGGTGACAGTGCAGACCTGGGCAGCCGGCCACACTGGGACACTGGTGCTGCACTGGGCTGGCTGAGTCTCGGGCCCCTGGTGACTCTGTGTAGCACAGATACTGTGGTTGGTGCTGACCCTTGGGGTCACCTCTGGGTTGTGCTCCCGCCGGAGCACGGCTGGCACCTGCCACTCTGCCCTCCTGGCTGTCAGTACCCACAGGCACTTTTCCTCGCCACAGCACCACAGAGCATAGACGACGGAAACCTTGAGAACAGCGAATTCTGGGTTATGAATGCACTTTATGTGCCTGCATACCTGTTTTTGAACATAAGACAGAGACAAAGCCTAAGTCCATCGGCACACTTCAGACGACCTAATGTCTTTGCTTGATTTGCTACTTCTCAGCACAGGAACAAAACACCAACCAGACGGAGGAAGGAAGCGTGACCCAGGAGCTGGCCCGCACGTGTCATTATGTACTCAACGTGACTTCTCCTCGGGATCCCCGAAGCGGCGGGGAGGTCCGGTGACCCCTGTCCAGAGGTGGGCGTGCCCCAGTTTTCCTACAACGTCCACGTTTAGCGGGAGTCTTCTCACACACGTGTGTCTGTCTGGAGAAGCCCCGATCTCAGTCTGCCATTTTGACTGCCGTGGATCCTCAACTGGATGTCAGTGAACCCTTGTTGCCACAGGGCCCATAAAACCTGGGTCAGGGTGCCCTGCCCTCGCAGAGCAGTGCCTACCTCCCCGCCTGTGGCTTTGTCCTGGCCCTGCAGGCCTGCCTGGGTGCACTGAGGGCAGGAGGGCAGGCAGAAAGCGGGTAAACTGTGGTTGCTCTGGCCCTGTGCCCTGCCTGGGTCTGCCCACGCCCAGGAGAGGGGCCCCGCCTGCCTGCCTACCTTTCTCCTGCTCTGCCCCCCAGGCCTGGGTTTGGCCTCCGCATCTGCATGGTCCCTACGCTCCCCAAAGCACGAGCCTGATTCCTCTCTTGATCTCCACTCCTGATTCAACATTTTCCTACTCAGATACTTTCAAGAACTGACCTTTTCCTGAAGGAAAGTAACATACCTCCTGAACCTGGCCTAGCCGGATGGTCTAGTGTTCTCTGTGGGCCTCCAGGGGCCAGGGGCAGATGGACAGGTGTTCTTACCTGTGGGGCCCATGCATGAATAAGTAGGTGATAGGTCTGGTGATGGAGGCTGGTGCTGCCTGGACCACCTCAGGGCCTGGAGCATCTCAGGGCTCCATTCTCTGTTTTTTTCCTGGCTTCTGGGGCTGCTGGTTAGCGTCCCTTGGCTTGTAGGCTCGTCACCCCCATGTCTGCCTTTGCCTCACGTGGCCGTCTCATACGTCTGTGTCTCTCTGTCTCTTACAAGGACACTGTCACTTAGTGTAGGTCCAACTCTAATCCAGTCTGATCTTCAAATACTCCATTTCCAAATAAGGCCATGTTCTGGGTGGAGCAACATTTTGGGGGGATGATACTGAACCCAGTATAGAACTCAGTCAAGGTCAGTGGTTTGCTCCTCTCTTCTTGCAAGGGGCTTGCCCTGAAGGCCTCAGGGGCCAAGGCACCCCTTGCGTGGGCCAGGGCCCCCCGAGGGCGAAGTGGGAGCTTTGTCAGACCAGTGTGTTCATGAACCTGAATACTCCTGTCCGATGGATATTCATTTTTTTTTAAGATGTTATTTTTAGAGAGAGGAAGAGAGGGAGAAAAAGGGAGAGAAACATCAATTGGCTGCCTCTTACACACCCCCAACCAGGGACTGAACCCACAACCCAGGCCTGTGCCTTGACTGGGAATCGATCTGGTGACATTTTGCTTTGTGGGATGACACCCAACCCATGGAGCTGCACCGGTCATGGCTGGATGAATATTCTTTGAAACACTCAAAAGTTAATACTGATTGCCCAAGGAGAAAAGCTTCCCTTGGCTGATTTGCAAACGTTTTCAGAGAGTAACTGACTGACTTTGCAAACCCACGCAGGCAGGCCACATTCCTCTCTCGGGCAGGCTGGGGCAGAAGTGGCTGGGAACTTCTCCTGCTGACAAGGACGCCCCCAGGCCTCCCACCCCAGCACAGACAGCGGGGCTGTGAGTTGGCCTCAATCTTGTTCATTTTATTTTAATTATTATTTTTTTTTCCATAAATTACTTTATTGTTGTTCAATTACAATTGTCTGCATTTTCTCCCCACCACTCCCCTGCAGCCCAGCCAAACCCACCTCCCTCCCTTGCGTGTACCCTCTCCCTTGTTTTGTCCATGTGTCCTTTATAGCAGTTCCTGGAAACCTTTCCCCACATTGTCCCTTCCCCCCTCCCCTCTGGCTGTTGTTAGATTGTTCTTAATTTCAATGTCTCTGGTTATATTTTGTCTGCTTTTTTCTTTTGTTGATTATGTTCCAGTTATAAGTGCTGGAAGCAACCTAGAAGCCCATCAGCAAATGAGTGGATCAAACAACTGTGGTACATTCACACGATGGAGTTCTATGCAGCGGAGAGAAAGAAGGAGCTCCTACCCTTTGCGACAGCGTGGGTGCATCTGGAGAGCATTGTGCTGAGTGAAGTCTGCCCGGTGGTGAAAGACAAATACCCTGTGACCTCACCTTTAACTGGAACATAGTCTTGTTCATTTTAGAGGCTGTTTTTGTACCTGCTCTCTTGCCCCAGTCCGTTTCGTGTCCCTGTCCTCCGGCCCCCTTCTCCGGACCAGCTGGTATGTTGCCTTCGCTGGGAGCCTCCCTCAAATGCACCACAGGACAGCGCCTGCTCTGTGGCCCCTCTGCCCACGGCTCCTAACACTGGTCCCAGGGAGCCTGCTTGTTGAGAGTCCCTTCTGCCTCCCAAGGGTGACTTTTGTTTTTTTTTAAACGTATGACTTCAGTTCTCCCGTGTTGGAGCTTGTCTGCTCCGGTGGAGTGCCCACGCGCCCAGGCACAGCCTCCCTCCCCCGCCTCCCGCCCCTCCCAGCCTTCCCTCCAGGCTCCACCTGCAGCCACAGGGCCCCACCCACACCTGCCCACCCAACAAGCTTGCCAGCCCCTGGGACCCTGAGGGGCACCTGCAGAGCATGCCTCGTCTCTGGGCACCAGCAGGTAAATGGATAATAGGTCCTGGGAGCTCCTCACAGCCAGGCCCTGCCTGCCAAGCACTTTAGATTCACTTCCTCCCTGAATCCTGTCACTTCACAGGTGGGGAAGCCAGGCTCAGGGAACGCACTTGTGTGCCCAGGACAGGACTGTGTGAGAGCCAGAGGCCTCGGCTGTCCCTCCTGGTGCTAGGGTGGGACCCCGCCTCGTTCCAGCCATAAGGCCCACAGCTCTGTTCCCAAGTAGCATCTGTGGCTACAGATCAGCCAATGAGAAGCCGCAGTCACCTGGACTCTCCCGTTCCCCCAGTGGACTCCCCCTTTTCTCTTGCTGAGGCTTCTGTCCCACCTCCTTTCTATAAAAGCCTCTGGTGCCAGGTAGTTCCTGAGACTCCCTGTGCTTGTGGGGTAGGCTGCAGCCCAGTTCATGGGTCATTATTAGTACGGCCAGCGATCATCAAATTTAATCAATTGGGTTTTGTTTTTAACACCGCCATTGTTTTTATTTTTGTATTAATGATGATCATTTGGTTTTTCTGGAATAATCTGTTACAGGGGTAATTTACACTAATACATATTTGAGTTAAGTCAAGTGAATACTGAATCTGATTTGAAAGTCAGGTGTGCTTCTGTTTTCCCCTTTGGCTCTCTTTCCACCCCTGAAACACCACTGTCTTTGGTCCTCTGTCCCCATTTCTACGGAAAATGACAACATTGCTGCCCCAGGCTTTTCTGTTGGGGCAGGATTACTGGTCTCTCACTAGTGAGGTCTGTGGTTCGTTTTCTTACCCCAGAAGTCGACGGGCACACAGCTTTCTCCTCCCACCCTCCCAGTAGTTTGGCTTTCCCCCCGAATCAGTATTCTGTGTACCGGGGTCACAGACACGGTCCACAGGTGCTGTATGAGGTAGTCCCTGACCACCTGCTTTCCTGTGCTCCCTGCAGTTAACAGCGGGCTGTCCTCCACGCAGCTGTGCCCAGACATCCCGCTTTTAACAGAGGTGAAAATGTTCTCCCTGTCATCAAAGGTGCCCCACAGTCCACCCAGGAGGCTTTTTCCTATGGCCTCCTGCCATGGGCTCTGTGGGCCTCGCCCACTTCGTGGCAAGCACCTGTGTTTGCGCCCCTCTGGTACCTGCACGTGGTGCCCAAGGTCTCTGTGAGCAGCAGGGGGGGCTGAGCTCCTGCCCACAGACGCTGCCCCCAGGTGCTCCCAGCAGTTTCATCCATAGTTGCCAGAACCCAAGGTGTCCCTCACTAGACAAACTGACACACACACTAAGATCCATCCAGACAACGGAACATACTCAGCACTCAGAGGACACAAGCTACCAAGTTACAAAAAGACAGGGCAGACATGTGAGGGCATACTGCTAAGTGAAAGAAGCTGATCTGAAAGGTTCCACACTGCATGTTTCCACCTATGTGACATCCTGGAAAAGGCAAAATTATGGAGATAGCAAATAATAAAAAACAAAGAGAAAAAGTACCTCCTATAATACTTTTGAAAAGAAAGGAAAAAATCCAGAGGCAAGGAGAAAATATAAGAAAGGAAAGAGGGAGAAAAGAGGGAAGACAGAAAAAAGAAGGAACGAGCCAGGGAGAACAGGGAGCGCAGCGCCGGTCACCTGCAGCCATGTCCGAGCCCACACCTGCCCGCCGTGCAAGGACAATATGGCGACACAAGAATGCCAGCAGACATTTCATAGATGCAAAATGTCGCAAGTCCACATCCACGATTCCTCTTTGAACAAAATCCATGCAACAGAACCGTCCTGCAAATAGAGGACAGTAAGGAACAAGCAGTGGGGAAAGGCCAGGGTGAGCTGGGAGCCGTTTTTCACAGAATCAGAACCGACCGGTTGTGTAAATTACAGAACAAATTATATGTGTTATAAATTGTGATGACAATCCTGTAAGAGAATTTGGCAAGTGGGGGAAGAAAGAAAATGTGTGATAATTTTGTCATGTTTTATAGAAGGGAATCCATAGATATGGACTAAAATAGGAAAGAATTTATTTTTAAAATGAGTATTTTAAAGTATTTCCTCTTAATTTTACAGGCATATGTTATGAGCTAATACTTCTTGTAATAAAAAGTTATTCGAAGTTCAGCACTTTCTTCGGTTTCACTTTAACTTCTTTTCTGTTAGATTCAGAGAGTTAGTTTGGATTAAAAATAGCAATACATATTAGAGCCTTATATATGCTGGTCTCTCAGAGAGATGTGCCTACCAAGTGTTAATGATGTTGCTCCCGGGTGGTGATATTTAAAAATACTTCCTTTTAAAAATGTGGTGTTTTCTTTACTCTTTGAGTATTTAAATTCGCAATTTAAAAATTACGATACCAAGTCACTTTTTCTTCAAAAGACCGTGCACACACTGGGGTGCCGAGGTTGAGGGGGGAGAAGAGGTTCGGAGACCAGTGCAGGAAGCCTGGGCTGTGCCCCTGGCGAGCAGGAGAGGAAGCTGAGCCCAGGGAGGGCTGAGCTCCATCTGCTCGTTTGTCTTAGATCGCGCTGTTTTCTCAGTCAGAAGTTACAAAGGTGAAGACAACAGTGGCTCAAAGTGCTGTGTCCCGTGCTGTCTGAGGAAAGAGATGCCCCAGAGACGCAGCAGGGACGGGAGGGCAAGCACCCCAGGGGCTCGGGTGCTGGGAGCAGTGCCTCTTTCACAGGACAGAATGGCAACCTGGTTGTTTGGGTGAGTGGCCAACATTTACTTGAAAACCAAGGGAGATGGCTGTGAAATTTCAGTTTTCACACCAAGTTACAGTTTTGGAAAATTTGCACCTACTATTGTGCTTCCACAGTATTTAAAGAGATTTTTGCTGGTGATGTAACTAGTGATTTTTGGCTTTGAATAATGAGCCGTGTCGGCATTTGGGATCGTTATGGTGATCGTGTGGTAGAACCACAACAGGGGGTGCCCTTCAGGGCCCCAGGCAGGTCAAGGGAGTCGACGCAGCCGGCGCAGCTCCGGGACGTGGTTTCAGCTCACACAGCACAACCGAGCTTCTCCATTCCAAGTAACTTTATTTTCAAGGAGTCTGAAAACCACATGAAGTTGCAAGAACAGTGCAGAGCCCCTCCACCCACACCTCAGCTTCCCCTGCAGCAGTGAGGGCCACAGGCCTGGACAAGACCCGGCGAGCGAGGCGGTGACTCGGAGCAGACTCACAGGTCAAGTCTGGTTTTCCCACACTCGTCGCTTTTCCCCAGCAGACCTTTAAGAGACTCTCGCTTGTGGAATTTCAGTGCAATATCGAAAATAACACTCATGCTGACCAGTAAAAGGAGTGAAAATACCCTCCCTTGCCCACAGACGGGTCTACGTGACCAGTTCCTCTAAACATGTGGATTGCAGCCAAGTGGACACAGAACCCAACTGTCCTCAGTGAAGCCGGACATGAAAGAGAGTTGCAAAAATATAAAATAACACCATTCTTCTTGCTAAACATTTGTTTTTGAAAATAGTTATTTTTCTTAAAAATTTGTTATATTAACTTACAACAGGGTTATACCTTTATTTTTAAATGAATAAATTTTTTGACATGTCTTAATTTTAGTTTCAAAAGCCATTCATGCTGACAGATGCGACCTCAGATGGCAGAGCCCCCGGGCCTCCTGTGGTGTCTGTACAGGGCCAGACAGGACCCTGTTCCCACAGGGCTGCTGGGCTCTGAAGGTCACACACACACACATACACACACCCTGGTGACCTTTCAAGGCACCAATTTAAACACACAACTTTGGGTCATATCCTCACTTACCCAGAGGGAGTTAAAAGTTCAGAAGTGGCTGGAGTGATTGTCAACAGGGCAAAGGAAGCCACTTGCTACTGAACCGGAATGCAAGCACAGCAGTCCAAGAAACTGCAGGTATTCGTCAACATTGTAGAAGCCACACATTTCTTTTTTTCAGAACAATCTTGCATTTAGATCACATCCAGATCCACGGAATAAAGTAGACTTTGGAAGTATCTGGTTTTCCAGTGTCTAAGACTTGGCGTGGCTCCGATCCGAGGCGACGAAGGACAGGCAGACAGCCGCCGTGAGGAGCAGGTGCACGCCCTCGTAGAGAAGTTTCGGAGAAAACACGCTCCATATGAACAAGTGGTAGCGCAGGGATGTCACCAGAAGGATGTACGCAGACGCTGGGAGAGAGCAGAGCAATGCGTAGCAGAAGCAGGCGTGTCTCAGGGCTGAACCACTGTGGAGGGAACGGGGCTGTGAGCGAGCTGCACACGACCCAGACACGTGTCCGGTCGGTCTGGTGAGGGGCCCAAGGAGGCAGTGGCCGCCGGCAGGACCTCCACCACTCTCCCGCCGTCGCAATCCCTGATGTAGTTTTGAAAAAAATGCATCCCTCTAGTTTGCATAGTAACCTATTTAGAAATGATATGTGTGTACTACTATACTCTCACATGTATTATAAAATATGAACAACGAAGAGAAAATCACGTAAGACTATGAACTATATGCCAAGAAATTGAACAATCTGGAAGAAATGGATTAATTCCTAGAAATACACAATCTTCCAACAGAGTCAAGAAGAAAGAAAACCTGAAGGGACTGATAACTGCTAAAGAAATCGAAGCAGTAACCAAAAAACTCCCAACAGGAGTTCTGGAACGGATGGCTTCACAGGCAAATTTCTCTGAACACTCAAAGAAAAATTAACACCTTCCCAAACTGCTCCAAAAAATTCAAGAGGGAAGGCTCCTAAGCTCACTTCACGAGGGCAGTATTATCCTAATTCCAAGACCAGACAGGGACACTACTAAAAAAGAAAACTGTAGGCCAGCATCCCTGATGGGCATAGATCCAAACACCCCTGACAGAGTATGAGCAAACCGAATCCCGCAAAGTGTCGAGAAGCTCACGCACCATGACCAAGGCTGCACGGAGAGCCCGGGAAGCAAGCCCCACCCATGCGGCCCACAGAGGAGACAAGAGCATTCAGTCTCCTCAAAAAAGGTGCAGGGGAAACTGGGCAGATTATGTGCGAAACACGGACCAGACCATCTTCTCACACACATGTGAGAAGCAACTCCCAATGGATGGAAGACTCAACGGCAAGACCCTCGGCCTCAGTGCACCCTGCTTCCTTCTTCTCTCACGCCCATGCGGGGCCCCCCGCCCTAGGCCAGCATGTCTGCTGCCTGCATGCCCTCCTGTCCCCGGCGCTTGTGGCCCAGCTGAGGCCCCACCGGACCATAAGCTCCTTCAGCAAGTCCGGCGTCTGCACTAGGGATCCGACCCATCAGAGAGGGGACCCCAGGGAGCCCACCCCCTCCAGGAACCATGACACGAGGGAAACTTGGGAGAAGCCTCGTGGACAGACATGTCTCAGCCCCTCGCCTGTGGGGTGTGTCTGCCCAGCTGGAGGCTGCGCCCGATCCCACCCAAGTGAGCCGGGGGCTCCTGAAGCCACAGCTCAGGGTCACCACCCCCGTGACCTCGGCAAGGAGTGATCTGTGCTTCGGGACGGTGCATGGCAGCTGTGCACCACACTCTCTGAGAGACACAAAGGGGCTTCACCTGCGGGTGTCGGAGCTCAGGAAGTTCACCAAGTGGCTGGCCCACAGCACAGGCCCCGCGTACGTTGAGAACGCTGTCAGGAACACGGCGGGGACCTCCACGTAGGTGTTCAGACCCACGAAGCCCGCCGAGATGTCCACTGTGGCGATGTTGTTGGAGTTTCCCTGGAAGGCAAGGAGACAGCGCTGACACGGCCACCCATAGCATGGCCACGGCGATGGGGAAGCCCAGGAGCCCTGGCCTCCCATCCACCCCTCTCTGTCCCGCTGACCCTGGACACACCGTCTCTCCACCAGCTGCCTCCCCCAGAGGCTCACAGGTGGAAGACCTGGCCCGCGAGGAGCCGGGCAAAGCCTGCCGATCGGTGGCCAATCCCGAATGCCCGAGATCTGTCCACCTACCACCGAGACCACTCCTGCCCCCCACCCCCACTCCGCCCCACCTGAAACCAGGTCCAGGGGCTTCATGTGACCCTGAGAGGTAGCGTGGCCAAGGGCACTCGCTGGAGGCAGAGGGCGGTGCTGCCCACTGAGGGCTGGTTGGATGGGTGGACGCTGCTGTCAGACCAGGGGCCGGCCGCCTGGAGGGCGCACGTCCAGCACAATGTGAGACCCAAGACCTGGTTGAGAACCAGCAGCTTCAGCGAGGAGCCCACTGCCACGCAGCTGCCCCTGCACGGGTGGGCTTCTGGATGCAGGAAGGGTCTCCTAAGACTCAGCCCCTCTTTCCACTTTCAGTCTTTATCAATGCTCGCGACCCTTCCTCAGAAACTCCGGACACTTACAGATGTGACCACACCCCAGCCCCGCAAGGGCCCCTCCACAGAGCACTTCACCAGCGGCGCAGCACGCGACTCCGCCTGCATTCACAGCTCTGCGTGCTCAGCCGTCCCCCCCACTTGCCCTCCTTGGGCTGCGCGTCGTTCTAGGCAGCCACGGGGTCATGGTGTGAGCCCCCAACACCCTGGCCTCACTGTCTGACCTCAGCCCCGCCCTCGACAGCCACCCTGTGTTTAGCTGCCCCTTCAGTCCACTCTGCCCCCGGCCACCTGGGCTCCCCCGAAGGCTATCAGCAGCCACCCCCTCCCAATGCCCCGGCGACTGAGACCCCTGCGCTGCCGGGGGGAGGAGGGAGTCCCTGAGCGACGGGCACGTGATGAGGGAGGCAGCTGGGCGTCCCACGAAGGGTCGATGTGATCCTGTGGGGGCAGCTCGGGCAGGGACCACCTGCCAGGGCTTTCTGGCACGAACTCCTTTAACCCTCACCAGGCCTGACCCAGTGCCATGGGACTGTGCACGGGGGGAAACCGAGGCAGAGAGAGGCCCAGAGCCTGTGCAGTGCTGGCAGGTGCTGTCGGGGAGTCAGCTGCAAGCCCGGGGCAGGAAGCCCCTGGTCTTCTCCCAGGAAGCCTGGCTGACGGGCGACTGCCTGTCACCGGCGCACACGCCGTGGGTCTGCGGCACAAAGACCAAGTCAGCGTGGACCTCACCCGCGGACAGGTCCCAACACGGGGGCGGTGAGCATGGCAGGGACACCAGAGCCACTGGACACATGACTGTGGCCACCCCGGGTGGCCCCTGAGATGCAGCAGCATCGCCCCCGAGGAGTGAAGCCATAGGCCGTGGAGCGGCAAACAGACGTGAGGCCGTGTCCTCACTCCAGTCTTCCTGACGCCGAGGCCTCAGGGCCGGTCGCGCCACACACCAGTGTCGTGGCTCAGGGGCAGCAGCGGCTGCCGAGTCCTCGTCCGCAAACACGAGGACACACTGCGGGCAGGTGCCCGGGGCGGGGCGCTGTGTCCGTCACGCACGCTCTCGGGCACAGTGCCTGGCAGCCTGGGGAAGGGTGGACGTGCTGATTTCCTACAGTGACAGCATTCCCCACCGAGCCTCTCGTGTCCGAGAGCGAGGGGGGTCCTTCCTGCGCCTCTGCTTGGAGACAGCCACCAGGCCCAGTCCTGTGCGTGGCGCCCAGGGACAGCGAGGAGACAGGCCGACGCTGGCCGTTTGGGAGCCTCTGCAGTGACGCTGAAGCAGCACCGAGCGTGTGGCTCCCCAGCGTCAGAGGACCCCCACGCGAGTGCCCGGTTCCAGGGCAACGGGAGCGGCCGGGCGGGGAGGAGCCTGCGGGCCTGGCTGGCTCCCGCAGCACCACGCTCACAGCCGGGGCTTCGCCTTCTCCATCCCCGGGGGCGCGCTCCGAGTCCTGGGCACGCTGCACCTCCCCACACCCTTGACGCTCGTGAGCTTCCAGATTTCTTCTGAAAGGCAAAAAGCTGTGGCCTCTGAAATTCGGGTGCTCAACGCCCTGGAGACACCGAAGTCAGGCTCGTGGGGCCAAGCGACCGGACTTCCCCGCCAGCACCGGGGTGACTGCGTGTCCTCCATCACCGCATCTTCCTGTGGCTCCGTGTCTGCTTGGGCGCCAGGCCCGACTCTCGGGCACAAGTCTTGGACCAGCGCCGACCACGAGGCCAAGGTGGGGGGCACCGCGGCCCCTGAGGGCTGTTAATTTCACCCTGATTTCACCCCTGAGGAAACTAAGGCACAGCAGGCCCCGCCAGGAACACGCCCTCCATGAGCTGCCGGCCCAGCTGCGGAGAGAAGCGCGGGCCGGAGGGGCAGCTGCAGCTGGAGAGCGGGACGCAGAGGGGAGGCGGGTCTGAGGGTGGGTGCACAGATGGACTGGAGCAGAAGCAGGCCCTCATCAGGCCACTTGCTCGGGACTTCACCCCTCACCCCTTCTGGGCTTCAGGAAACTGACGGAAAAGCTGTGCGACCAGGAACCTGGGCAACAGGAGGCTCGACTGCCGCGCGGCAGCCGTGCGGGGTCGCCACCTGGGGCGGGAGCTTCTGGCCGCCACCAGGTTGAGGGCAGTGCTCAGCTGGCATGGAGCCGGGTCCCTCCGAGGTAGGAGCTAGACCCTCCGTCCACCTGTCCAGGCGCCCTTCCAGGTGTGAGGTGCACCCTGAGGTGCACCCTGGAGGCGGCTTGGCCTGGCCCCCAGGAGCCCTTCATCACTGGAGAGGAGGTGCGACCACCCCAGGGACCCAGGGGACGGACGGCCAAGCGGAGCCTCGACAGCACAGCCCCCGCCTTGTGCGACGAGGCGAGGAGGACGCACGGCGTTGTGTGCGGTGGGGACACGCCCAGCCCCGGGCCCTCTCGGCAGCCAGTCTGCCGAGCGTGTCGGCCGGAGGAACCGGCTGCACTGCATCTGACAACACGCCTGAGACCGAAGCGTCACCCACCATTCCACCCTGACCGCTCTCTCACCGAACAAACGCTGTAGCCTCCCAACTCGTGCTGAGATCTTCTCAAAGAACACGAAAGGTAAGGGGCACAGAGTTGGTGGCCTCCTACCCACAACAACAAAGAAAACCTACCTGGAAGTAGAAGAACGCTTGACCGAACCAGTAATGCATGGCCGTGACCTCCGCGGCGTTGTGCCTCAGGGGCCTCCAGACGAACCTGGTCATCACGGCCTGGACCAAGAGGCTGCACAGCAGGACGGGAAGGTTGTGCGGCCGGACCAGCAGCGCCGCCAGCAGCACGAGGCCCCCGTGAAGGTCCCACAGGCCTGTGGGCTGGTGTGTGTGGTCTGCGGCAATGACTCGAGACTTAAGCAAGTCCTTGGTGCCCGTGAACAGAAGGCCAAGGACAAACACATAAACAAAACGAGCCTCAATGATACCCCTAAAAAAAAAAACGAAACAGAGTAGATGTGTTAGCACCACCCAGACAAATCCAAACGCATCTTCTCCCATGAAGACCACGTGTCTGCTCACCGCACCAGCCACGGTGCCGCCCACCCACCCGGGGTGCGGCGGAGGGGGTGCCTGGCCCAGGGCCCCTGCCCAGAGGCCGGCGCCGGTCCTCGTGGCGTGCGCTGCTGTGACGGAGCTGGCGCAGGGAACACCACCCTCCTCCCGCCCGAGCACTACCTGGGTACACGTCACTGTTCACCTGACGAGGCCCAGCTCTGCCAGGAACTCCCACGAGTTCACAAACGCTAAGGTACAGCTGCAGGCTCACAACCGAGCAGATGTAAGTCACTGCTTGCACGCGTCTGTGCACACACGTGCCCCGACCACGCACCCTGGGGAGAGGCAGGCGAGTCTGGGCCCCGCAGCGCCCAGCTCTGTGGTTGGGGCGCGGCCACCCGCACGTGCGGAGGAAGGGCACCCAGGGCTCTCAGGGCTGCCCCGACCCGGGAGGGACGCCCGAGTCCGCACGTCCAGGGCCTGGCACCGAGTGGTCGAGTTTGAGCACGTCACCTACAGCTGTCTGGAGGGACCCAGCTCACGGCACTGAGCTGAGGCACGTCAGCTGTGGAACCCCCATACCCCCAAACGCATTTAGGCAGAGTCCAAAAGCCAAATACTTCACACATACTGTAAGAGCTGACCACTTACAGTAACGCCAAGTGAAAACTTTACCGTGGAATAATCACCATAACGATGTCTGTTCCGAAAAACTTAACTTTCACATCTCAGTTTTCTTAGGAAGGGTTACACATTTTTCATAAATTATCTTTTCAACGCGATGAGTTTAACTTGAATAGCCAAGCACTGCCCACCACATGCCAGCGGCCCTGGGGCCCCTCTGCGGCGGAGCTGAGGTCCCAGCACCCAGGGCCCAGGCGGGAGCTCACGGCAGGCCCGCAGAGTTAGAGGAGGGGCGTGGGGAAGAGCACTGCCTGGCGTGGCCTCGCGCACCGTGGGCCGAGCTTCCCCATGGAGAAGGACGCGAGTCGGTGGGGAGCAGCACTCGCGGTCTGAAAGGAGCGAGGCAGCTGTGAGCGAAGCAGAACCGCAGGTCCAAGCAGAACCGCAGGTCCGGAACCAGCAGGGGCCTGGAACTGGGCCGGGGCGGGCAGGGCGGGCAGCAGGGTTTCACAGAAGAAGGGGAACGGAGAGCAGGGGGCGCGGCCCGCACAGCCGCCACCGCCAAGGGAGGAGAGGGGAGGGTCCAGGTGTGGACGTGGGGGATGTTGCAAGCAGGTGCGCGGACACGAGAGGAACTGTGGAATTTTCTCGCAGGTTGCGCGTGGAGGTTTAGACGAACACCCTGAAACGGGACGGCCGGGCCCCGAGTCTCAGACGCCGAAGCCACCACACGGCCCTTTGCGGCCTCCATCTCGGGTGGAGGCCCAGCACCCAGCCAGGCTCTCGACTCCCCACCCCTGTGGGTGGGTCGCTTCCAGGGGTGCCCCTTGGGCCCCTGCCCGCCACATGGCCTGGCCCAGCCCGCAGCCTGCGCCTCGACCTCTGAGGAAAGATGACACCTGCTTTTCTCCCTCTGCGTGGAAAAGTGACACACAGCTGAGCGAGACTGACAGCAGCCACTAGACGGTCTGCGTGCTGGAAACCATGGCAACCAGTGACACTGTGCCGCGTGTCCCACAGACGTGACAATGTGCTCCTGGGCCGTGGGCTCGGGCCACACGCCAGTCCAAGCCACTGCTCCCTGCCTCTGTGTGCCCTGCAAGGACCCACCACTCGCCGAGCTACGCGGTGGCAGTGAGAGTCCAGAACGCCCTAACTCAGGGGCTCACCCACCACAGCCGCCACTGGCCTCGCTTTCACCCTGTGCCCTGGCGGCTGCCTCCGAGGGCACAGCAGCTGGGCCCCACCCTCGGCCTCATCTCGGCTTCTCTTCTGAAGAGCTGTGCAGGGGACGCCCGGGTCAGGGGCTGGGCACACGCGTTTCACACACAGCCCTGCAGCCGTCACCCGCCCGTCTCCATTGAGCACAGGGGAGCCGCCCTGCTGACCGGCCGGGGCCTGCCTGCCTGCCTGGCCGGCGCTCTGGACAGCTCGCTCTGTGCTGCACTGGCCAACTGCCCGGCAGCACCCACGTGCTACCGTCTCGTAGCTTCCGGACCAAACAAACTGGAATCCTTTAGGTTCCTTGTTCTAGTAAAAGGCAAAAGGTTTATACGATCTGAAAAGAAACCAGAGTATATGTTCCTTATCTTTAAAAGCTGCTTTGTTTAAAAAATAAACCTCACACATCTTCCTCCCGAGGTCCCCGTCTCTCTCCAGACAGAGCAAGGAGGGAAGCGGAGCCCTTCACTGAGGCGTGCCCCACTCCCTGCCGGCGGAACCCACTCCCGGACCACGGGCTGCGACACCCTCCAGGCAGCACGGCCCGTTTCAGTGCACGAGACGGGGACAGGCCTAGGCACAGCCCTCGGGTCTGCCGGTCCACATACTTGGAAATGCCCTTGCTCTCTCGTTGCCACGGCAGCAGCAGGTGGCCGGTGGCCGCCCGGTAGCAGTAGACGCCCAGCAGGCCGAGTGCCATGGCCACCCTGGACACTGGGGAGCACCGCCGGTGAGCCAGCGTGAAGATCGCCAGGAGGCACAGGGCGGCCAGCACGGAGAGCTCGGCTTTGTGGTGGGAGCTGAAATGAGACGGAAAGTGCCAGGAATTACCGACAGGCGAGACTGCTGGCTCGTGGACCCACACCCAGGGGCGTTCTAAGAGCTGCCCTGAGACCAGCTGGCTCTTCGGAAAAGCAAACAAGAAAACCGTCGGTGACTTCAGTCCAGACCGAGGCTTGCATGAGGTGACAAAGGAAGGGCCGTTCACGTGCTTCACGCACCGAGGGCCCCACCAGCAGCCCGGCCCCGCCCGGGGCAGGGACACACGGGAAACACTGGGCCTCGCGCCCCTTCCCAGGACGGCCATACGTCCCCCAGCGCAGGTGCAGGGCGAACCACGTGCTTCCCAGGGTGCACCCCACTCATGGGGACACGCACCTCCTGGTGTGACCCTCCTCCCGGGGCAGGGCTGGCCCCGCTGCTGCCCACTGAGCGCTGACTGCTCACAGAGCCAGACACGCAGCAGCTGAAGTGGCTGGGTGAGCACTCCGCCCAGGCATCTGCACACGTGAGTGAGGTGCCTGGGGGAGTGCTGAGGACAGACACGGCTGCGGTCAGGACCTAGGTCCCGGGGACAGCAGGCGGCCTGGGACCACACTGCGGCTGGGTCTTTGCTCTCAGGCGTGGTCAAGTGGATGTCCCTTCATTGGGGTGGACTGGACATTTTACGCTCTGCCCTGAGTTGTTCAGTGTCACAACTGAAAAAAGGACTGGGCTGCCCCTCAAGCTCTGTCAGGAGGGAGGGGTGGGGTCATGCTGCTGCCTCTGCAAACTGGCACGAACAACTTGTGACACGGGAGCCAGGCCCAGCGTGTGGAGGAATGCCCCAACTGGGCTGTGGGCACTGCTGGGGAGGTGCCCCTGCACCCACAGGGGTGTCTCTGCGGTGGGAATCGGCAAATTCCCCTGCACGGAGGCAGTTTTCCAGAAAAACAAGTGTGTCATGGTGCTGTCCCGGGGGCTGCTGTGCTCGGGCTCTGGACACCTGGCAGGGCCACGCTGGGTGGACAGTGCAGCTCCCCGCTCCCCCCGCCGGGAGGACAGCAGTGTCCTCGGGGAAGGGCAGTGAGGGGCAGACCGGCATCCCTGCCGCAGTTATCGCTGACAGCTCACGTGTTTTCAGACACCACCGATCACAGGACTCGGCGGTGAGAGCCGAACACAGCGGGACAGCCTCACGTAGGCCCACCTTTCAACGTCAGTTTAGGGCCCGGGGCGCATGCTCCCATTCCCTGCGACCTCAAATGCCGTTTGCGCCCTGAACGTGAAGAACAGGCCCACCTTTTGCAGAAGGAGGCTGTGAGTGGCCTGCACTCTCACCTGGCGAGCCAGTGCCCCAGGTCGGGGCGGTGGGCCCACTGCACCCCCGTGTGGTTCAGGGACCGCAGCAGCCGGCAGCAGCTGAGCACCAGCCACGGGCTCGCCAGCACCATCCACTTCTCAGGGCCACGGAGTGCGTCCAAGGAGGAGCAGCCCTTGCGTCTTTGGTCCAGGTCCAACACGTCATGGCGAGGGCTCTGACTGCGCCGAGTTGGGGCCGCACCAGCGAGCCCTTCTGCCCTGTCGCCGTCGTCCCCTGGGAAGCAGCGCCTGCAGATGTCGTGACCCAGGGCCAGACACAGGGTGTTGACGAGGAAGTACCAGGTCTGGTGCTCCTCCTCGACGAAGCTGCTCGAGCCCAGGCTTGCGGCATGGCCCAGCGTCCCCAGCAAGAGGAGGAGGTCCAACTCCGGCCACCTGGGGCCAGGGTGCACCGGGTTCTGTGAAGAGGGACGAGTGCTCCGTGAGGGGAAACCCCGACCGCCGCGCGGATCCTGCGCCACGTGCTGCGCGTGGTGGATCGGGGAACACAGCCCACGGGGGCACCTGCGGGGGACACGGGCCGCCCTCACCCTGGACTGCCCGTCTGAGGCCGAGTGGCAGCGAGATGCTGGGCGCTCAGACCGGAACCGCTTGGCGGTGCAGGGTGCAGAGAGCCCACCCTCCCGAGCCGTCGGGGGCCACGGCCAGACCCTGCTACCGGACAGTTCCCCCCAAGCCAGACCCCTCACGTCCCATGAATTTTCCAGAAACCCAGAAAGTTCCCACTGAAGTGGTCAATTCTATTGAAATGACGCAGTTGGCATCACAGCACCGTCCCTTACGTGCACCAACTGAAAGAAGGGTGAGCACTTAGCCACCGTCACCCGGCAGCTCCCCAGCCAGTTCCGTGCGCGTCCCGCTGGGAGACAGCACACGGATGCCGAGAGCCTGCCCTCAGGGCCCCACGCGGCTCCCTCAGACACGGCGGGCTGGGGAGGGGAGCGGCTCTGGGCTGGGTCCCCTGGGCGCTGGGACCACCCACCTGCCCACCTCTCCCCCGAGACCCTGCCAGCACAGCCGGCTGGGGAGCGGTGGGCGAGAGGCCGAAGGCTCCGAGCGCCCGGAAAAGGATGCTGTGGTGTTGAGGAGGCAGAATGGGGTCTGGGGAGGGCGGGACCCACACGGGGCTGAGCCTCTTCCTACCTCCCCCGGCCACACCCCCATCGCCGTTGGAGCGGTTGGACGGTTGGACGAGAAGCTTCCCCGCCAGCCAGCTGCCTGCCCACCTGGGACCAGCTCTGCGCGGCCCCCGTGTGACAGTCACAGGCCTGGAGGCGCTGACTCCCCCGCCTGCAGGTGGGGCCTGGGAGCGCAGCGCTCGGGGACAGGCTGCCCTCACAGGTCTTTCCTCACCAGCCAGTGCTGCCAGGGAGTGACCGACTGACCGAACTAACCAAAAACGGCCCAGGTGGAGAGACGGTGTCGCGTCTGCGGGGACCAGTCTTACCCTCCTCAGGAGCTCTCCACCCACAAGCGTCCTGGTCAGGGCGGACGCGACTGCGCAGAGCAGGGCAGAGGCGAGCGCCAGCACCGTGGCCACGGCCGGCCACGCGAGGCTGCAGAAGTAGCAGGAGCTCTCGGCTGAGGTGCAGACGATGACGTGCACGGCCCCGAGCAGCAGCAGCGTCAGATAGAAGAGCAGACAGAACACGGGCGACGACAGGGGCACGTCCAGCTCGGCCGTGGCGCCCAGCGCCTGGGGGACGCTGAGCAGCAGCAGGGCAAGGACCTGGGACAGGACAGCAGGGCACGTTCACGACTGTGGGGCTTGCGGGCGCCACCCGGATGGGCGCCTGCCACGGTGTGCTGGGGACACACGGGATCGCGCAGGAAACCCCTACGCCGACGTTACACGTTCTGTGCACTGGAACGCCCTGGCCCGGTCACCACGTCCGTCCCACGGATGGGCCACGCGAGCACGTACCTCCAGCACCACGACGGCCCCCACCAGCATGGAGTAGACGTCATAGTGGGCGCCCTGTGCGCTCAGGGCCAGGCTCAGGGTCCTCAGGGCATCCGAGTACTGCCTGCGGACCTTGCTCCCGAGGCTGAGGAGGACGTCGGAGGGGCTGTCCCCCAGGTACAGGCGAACCCAGTTGGCGTGCAGCCTCTCTGACTTCTGGAACTGCTCAAACCCAGGCTCTGGGGGAGGAGGAGGGTCACACAGACACACCCGCTCAGGAGGGTCAGGGCCAAAGCGCCAGAGCCGGCAGAGCGACGCCAGGACTCCGCCGGGTGCGGGGGCGCGGCCTGACTCACCCCTCTCGTAGGAAGGCACGTTCTCCTGCAGCAGCCTGCGGAGCTGCACCGCGTTCAGATGCAGGAGTCGCAGCTGCTCCCGCATCGCTCTGTCCGCCACGACAGGGAGCAGGAGGCAGCCCACGCTGTGTTTCGGAATCGGCAGACCAAGCCCTATCGCGAGTGTTGCGGCCACGTCTGTCTGTTGGACGTGCTGTGGCCGCCTGACGTCACCTGCGGAAGAAGCCGTGTGGGTGACAGGGTCTGGGACACACAGGGTGGCAGCGGTTCTCCAGTCTGACCTCTGCAACGAGCATCGATCCCAGCTCCCGTCTCTCTGAACCCCCCCACCGTGGGTTCACGTGGAGTGCACTGGCCGTCTGATGCCTGTCAACTGACTGAACGCCCACCGGGAGGGGTGCGCTGCCTTCCCCAGACCCGCGTGCAATGCCTGGGGGGCTCCAGCACACACACACACGCGCACATGCACACGCAATGCTGAGTGAGCTCCGCAGCGTGGTGTGGCACAGGGCGAGCAGGCGGCCCAGCAGATGGTCACCTGATGGACGGCCCCTTCAGCAAAGTCAACAAACCCTTGAAAAGGGCGAGGGCTGGTCTCTGGCGGCCCTGGCCTTGGGACTCAGAGTGGTCCCCACCGCCCCATGGAGCAGCTACCAACTTCCCGACGGCTCCTGAGCAGGAGTGGGGGGACCACTACGAGGAGAGTGTGTCCCGGAGCCAGCCCTGCCTGCTGCCGGCCTGAAGCGCTTCCAGTACCAGCAGTGGCTACCTGTTCCCACCCTGCTGACTCCTGCAAGGAGGTGGGTGTGACCCAGGACACTGGGCTCCAGCCCCAGCTCTGCATCCTCCAGTGCAGGGCCTCAGATGAGAAGGTCCATGCAGTCCTGGCTGGTGTGGCTCAGTGGACTGAGTGCTGGCCTGCGAACCAAAAGGTCACTGGTTCGATTCCCAGCCAGGACACAGGCCTGAGTTGGGGGCCAGGTCCCCAGTAGGGGGGATGCGAGAGGCAACCACACATTGATGTTTCTCTCCCTCCCTCCTTTCCCATTTCTGTAAACATAAATTCTTAAAAAGAAAAAAAAAAAAGGAGCCCCACGCAGCCAGCATCCTGCCTGTGAAGTGGCCCCCCAGCCCCCGTACCCCAGGAACTCCTGCGCAGGCTGGCAGGGGCCAGGGGGCCACCAGGAGAGCCCACTGGGGAGGCGGGCGTCTCGCAGACACTGCAGTGTGAGTGTGCAGATGGTCAGCCTTGTCTGTGGTATTTTTCAGTCATATAGAATTTTTCTTTTTTAATTGGATCAAATTTACTCTCTCTTCTTGACTGACCCTCCTCTGACAGCCCCTGGGTAGACTTGGAAAGAGGTTTTCTCTCCAATGTCACTGATTTTTCCCTGTAGCGTTCTCTTACATTAAGGGCATTGGTCTGAAACAAACCGAACCCGAAGAAAAAGCCCCCCTGGGGACTGGCCAAGGGCGCTGGGCCGGCTGTCGTTCCAAGGCCCCGAAGCGCAAGGCCACCGCCAGCCCCGGTCACGCAAGGACCCTGCGTGCGGGACTACAGGCGCGGTTCCGCTGTCGGTCGCCCCACAGAGCAGTGTGTCTGGCAGCCGCGGCCCAGAGCAGGGAAGTGGCCCAGGCTGTGCTGGAGAACACACGATGCCGTGCGAGAACACGTCTACACGGAAACATGTTCACCAACGCATACGTGAAGCCAAAACGAGGGAACAAGCGCCCGCCGCCTGACGGATGGACGGGTGACGAATGTCATGCAGCGAGAGGGGGGCGGGGACCGAGCGCACGCGGCGCTGTGTGTGGGCCCTGGAGCCAGCGTCCAGCCTCGCGAGACCACGTGCTCCGAGGAGTTAAATCCGACAGAGGCAAAGAGATGGCCGGGCCGGGGTGGGCACCCCGGGCTGGCGGGAGGCGCTGAGTGGCCTCCAACGAGGTAATGCGGTGCCAGAGCGGTGCCAAGGGTGCCGCCCGTCTCCGCATGCACTGGGAGGGAGCGGCCCTGGCTCCCGCAGCGAGCACGAGCAGGTTCCACGAGACGGCCGCCCCTGGAGCAAACGCTGGCACGGTGGTCAGGCACCGATGAGGTCAGGCGCCCAGCAGCTCTGAGCGAGAGGGGCTGTGAGAGGCAGGCTTCAGGCAGACGACAGCCCCAGGCCCTGAGAGCACAGATCCACCGGCCCAGCTGCCTCTTCTCCTCCCACACGGGCCGGTCCGCTGCAGGAGCTCAGTGACCCGCACTGGACAAACGCGCAGCCGGGAGAGAAGGCGGGTGTGGGCCTGGGGCTCTCACTCCGCCCGTGGCCACACGGACCCTACTGTGCCCGGGGTGGGGGACGGCGGGGCGGAGAGGCCGGTGCTCTGGCGGGTGCTGTGCCCCTCACTGGGAGGCAGGCTCCCGCAGTGCTGGGCGCTGCTGAGGATCCAGGAGGAGAAGCCGCAGGGTCTAAGGAAACGACAGCGAGCTGTCAGCGAGCAGGCCCTGGGGGAGGGCGAGGGCCGGAGGGCTGGCGTGTACGTGGGTGCAGAGCAGGGTGTGACGGCGATGACAGGCGGCCCTCAGTGAATCCTGCTGGGACTGGTCTTGTGACTCTTGCTGACGTGGCTACTCGGCCGACATGCAGACCCAGTAACGGATGCTGCTCACAGAGCTGAAGTGTCTGTGTCCGTGCCGGTTCACGCACGTGGCCCGCGTGGCTCTGAGATGCCAGTCCCGGAGACCTGGGCCTGGCATGCACGTGGCGCAGTGCCCACCAGGGGTGTCTGTGTTGTACCAGTCAGAGCAGGAAACCTCCCCTCCCAACCCCGACCGCCCCATCAGTTTTCATCCTCCCGTTACGCAGGATGTTTGAAACTTAGCTTCCAAATACAGTTTTAAAGTTAAAACCGAATTACATAAGGCAGAAATAAAACAGTTACGACATGTCAGTCGTCCCTAGCGTCTCACCGGGTTTCCTTTCAAAAGCAGAGCTGACCAGGACCAGCGCGGTGTTCACCTCCTCCACAGAGGAGGCCCCGTGGCCGCCGCGCTCAGCCATGCCGTGGTCGCCACAAAGGACCAGCAAACTGGGCGAGGACGTCTCTCTCTCCTGGAAAGCAAAGGAAGACAGTTCACCTGTGTTCCTACTGAGAACACACAATCTTGTTCAGACATCACCTTTAGATTTTAGCTTCAGGAACAGCTGCTCTTTCTAAATTAGTTATTTTTCCTTTCTACCTACGAGCTTATAGTCAGATCAAAGGGTCGCTGTCACATATCACACATGAAACACACACAGTCACACGAGGGTCACACGGCACAGCAGGCAGGGACGAGGGCCTCTCGGGGCCCGGGGTCTGGGTCTGGACTTCTCTGCCCCTCCCGGGCTGAGCACCCGTGCACACCCCTCTGCGCGCCTCGGGGTCCTCCTCTGTCCCACACAGCCGCCGCCCGGCTCCAGCCACCAGCCTCTGCCCAGCAGGCCTCGCAGGCCCCGCCTCGCCCTGGCTCTTGGCCTGCGGAAGGCCTGTCCGCCCTCCCTCCCTTCCAGCCTCCGCTCACACCCCGCGTGTCTGCTCTGACCACAGTGCTGACAACCCCACCCCCACCCCCTGGCCTGGCCCTCCCGTGGCACCTGCCAGAACACTTCTGCACTCAGTTGCTGGGCCTCTTGTTTGCCCCGCCGCTGCAGCGCACGTTCCACAGAGGCCCAGACAGGCAGGGGTGCAGGAGGCGTTTGAGAAACACGAGCCGGGTAAACCGTGACGGCGGAGATGGAGCCAGTGCCGGTGGGCCCCACGGGGCGGCCACCGTCACGTTCCCGCTTCAGTTCCTCCAGGGGACGTGGGCACGAGGATGCCCGAGCCCCAAGACGCACTGCAGCGCGGCTCACCTGTGAGAGCAGCGAGGTGTGGATCCTCATCAGGATGCTGTCCATCTCGCCGAGCTTGCGCCCGATCAGCGGGCTGTGGGGCCCGGAGACGTGGCCGACGTGGTCCAGCCCCAAGTAGTGAAGGATCAGCACGTCCCAGTCCCCTCTCTTCAGGACGGCACCCAGGTGCCTGGTGACGTTGTCGTCCACCTTGAAGGGAGGAGGCGCACATGACGAGCCCGGAGTCTCCCTCCCTCCGCACTCCCCTAGACACACCGTGGGGCTGTCACGAACGACCGGGTTCGCTTTAGGTGACGGGACTTGTGGCAGTTCGAAAAGCCCGAGAAAAAAATAAAAACTTGCGTGAGAATTAAACAGACATCAGCAGGAGACTCAGGCCTCACTAACACCGCCATCCGGTCTCTGGGTCACAGATGGAACACGCTGTGCAGGTCACGTGAAGGAGCAAGGTGTGTTCCGAGAGACTCTGTGCACCACTGCGCAGGCCTGAGCGAGTGACCAGGTCACCACAAGGTGACGGCGGGCGCAGGGCAGCAGAGTGAAGACAGGAGAGGAGCCAGAGCCCGAGCAACCACAGGGGGAAGCGGGGGGCCCGTACGGGCACCCCGTCAGAAAGCTGTTCTGGGAGGAAGACACGTGGCAACCCACGCGAGCCATCGACCATCCCCAAAAGAGGCATCGGTCCCCTCGGCCTGGACCCCTCTCCTTCCCACAGAAAAGCCTACAACAAGAAGGTGTCTATGTGATCGGACCCAGGACAAGGAGACCCGGTCACAGCTGGTCTGTGCTGTGGCGCTTGCAGCCAAGGGCATCGGCGTGAGCAGGCCTGCAGGTGCCTCACCAGGCCCAGCAAAGGGACAGGTGTGACTGTGCGAGACTGTCCACCCCCATGCCAAGTTCAGACACGTGGGTGTCACTGCCCTGTGGGTCTCCCTGTGCACCCAGGCTCCACTTTCCAACCAGGGCTGTAAGCCCAGCCTCAGGCGGATGCCCCTCAGGACCAGGCCGGCCCTCGGCCCTCCCCATGTCACACGCCACCCCACTCGCAGAAGAACTGGGGGTCCCGGGCAGCCCCGGGGTAGTCCTCAGGCTGTGCCTCGGACAGGTGCGGGCACCTGCTATCCTCCTCATAAGTCCACACTCACCTGTAAGACCCAGCTCAAATGTTTCCTTGCCGGGAAGCCCCTCCGGATCCTGCATACGCGTCCACAGGTGTTCAGCTGTTCTAGGCTGTGGGCTCCCGAGAACTGTCCTCACCCTGGCATCGGGGTCTCTGCCCCCGGGTGTGACTGCGTGTGTGCACGGACCGCGCCGGCACTGTCTCCATGCCACTCCCAGCACTGCGAGGCAGCACAGCCACACGCTCCCGCTCTATCTACAGTGACTCCCATTCTTACTGTAGAGACTGACCTCTGTGTAATCTGACACAAAAAACGAGGTGGTTCCATCATACTCCACAAAATGCCGTGGGAATAATTTCACCCACGTCTCATCCCCATAGAAGATGATCCTCCTCCCCGAGGCCCAGGCCTGCGTGATCACATTGTCTTCCAGCAGCGCGGGGGAGTTGAGGTTCCTGACGACGTCGATGAAGCCGGGGAGGCTCCCCGTCATCAGGGCCTGCAGGGGGGGACACACCTGATGAGACTCCAGGGTCCAGAGCACAGAGGGGAAGAGCTGCCACAGACCACAGTGCAGACAAAAGATGCAGGCACAGAACGGGGCTGCGCGCCCTGGAGGCCGGGTCGGTATCAGAACGGGGGAAGCCACCTGCGGGTTCTGGGCAAACCAGAAAGCTCCGTCATGAGCACCTGACCACAGCTCAGCTAAGGAGAGGCTGTGGGAGGAGGCCATGGATAGCTGGATGACTGTGGTGGCCAGAGGACAAGCTATGGATTCTAAGAACCAAAGCAAGTGGCAAAGTGTGGGACCTGCTGAGAAACACAAACCTCTTTGTGTCTCTAACCCACCATCAGCGTCAAATCTGGAAGCTCCACGTCCTGACAGAAAGACCAGAGGTTCTAACAGCCGCTCCAGGTGAAGAGGCAGCTCCTCACACAGGCGGGAGAGCAGTGGTCTTGGAATGAAAACTCACAGGGTTCTCAGAGTAAACTGGCCCATCGATGCAGGTGCCCCCACCCCGCAGTCTGATGCGGCACCATAGCTTCTGGGAGGAGAGGGTGGGCGTGACACCCCTCACACCTCGATACTCGAGGCGTAAGGCAGCGGCCTCCCTCATTCAGCACAGAGTCTGAGAGGCCACGGGATGGGTCACAGTCTCCACGCTCTGGACTTCCCAACGACCCACAATGCTGGCGTCCAGGGACCCGTGCAATGAAAACACGCAGGGACCTGGATCATGCCAAAGATGTTAAAATTCTGCCAAGACTTCTTTAACAGCAAGTGTAAAGGTGAATTAACTGAATGCCTAGAAGGCAAGTTAGAAGCTCAATAAATCTCCACCAAGAGCAACGATAAAAAATGGATTAAATGGTCAAAAACAACCCTTTCTGGACTTTGAAAACTCACAAGGATAGACAATCAACAACCGGTCGAGAGCTTCCTTGAGACAAAGCGCTGAAGCTCCGTGAGCACGCAGGGCACCTGCGGTGTTTCCCACGGTCCACCCACCCCCAGCCCCGAGCTGCAGCAGTCGAGGACCAGGTCGGGGGCCCTCATTGGGAGGTAGCCCTGTGGAACAGCACCACTCCAGGGGCGAGAAACCAACAGGAAGCCAATTCACAGCTGCCTAAGGCTCCACACTGGTGGTGGTAAGAGATCAGCCCAAAACTGAACAGGGCATCTGGGGAGCGAGACAGGTAGAGGCCCCCACATGTCCCCAGATCCATAAGGCTGCGTGTCCACTCAGGAGACGCTAGGGAGGGCCCAGTTACCAGTTCCTTCTGGCTGAACAGGGTCCCTGTTCAAAGAGAGGGTGAGAGTCCGGGCAGGTGTAGAAATGCCCAGGCTGGGAGCGTGTGGCCCGTCCCACACGTGGCCTGCCAGATGGTGACGCCTCATGGCGTTGGGTATTTGCACACAATGTCTGACCAGTCGCTGACCTATGCTGACCTGGGGGCCCTTAGAGAGACTAGCCTGAAAATAAAAACAAGGATTAGGAAATGGCCCAGCAGGGACACCAGCAACTGCACACCTGGGGAGATGCTCTCTAGACGCAGTCCAGGTGAGCAACACCCACAAACCAAACGACAACGAGAACAGCCACCACCCCTGAGTGGGGATCACAAGTGGAGGTGGGGGACACGGATGTGCACATGTTGAATCTCCCCTCAGCACACACACACAGGTGCATGTGCCAGACGGCACAAAAACTCTCTCTGAATACACTTTTTTCTTAAAAAGTGACCTTTTCTCTTACCCCCAAATTCTGCTCACTAAAGAGAACCAGTTAATTTTGGTGAGTCCCTTGTCATACCTTTTTCTGTATGCATACAATCACAAATACACAGATACATTTATACACCAAAATGGTAACAAACTACGTAAATAATTCTGCAACAACTTGCTTTTGCTTGCCAATTAACAACAGATCAGCTGTTACATGTGTATTTAATACTGGAACGTACAATACATTTAACATGTGTAACCAAGACCATTTTGATGGACGTTTACTTTGAAAGCCTTCCCCTGGCAGGGCCCTCTGAGCTGGGGCCCAAAGGCAGAAGGGCTGTCGGGGGACAGGGCTGCACAGGAGAGCGCCCAGCACACGGGGAGGCGGAGCCGTGTGTGATCACCAAGGAGGGAGGTCGAGAGGGGAACGGGGTGGGAGCACAGCCCTGAGCCAGGGTGCGGAGGCCACGGGGAGCCACCCTGGACCAGGCAAGGGTGGCAGCTGAGCCCAGTGATGTCCACAGTGGTAAGGCACCTGTTCACCTCACATCTCGTGAAGAGGAGGTTATCATCCATCTTGAAATATTTACACGGTGACAGACAAAATCTGGTCTCGTGGATGGTTCTCCTTTGCCCTGCTATGATCACTTGTAAAGTTAAGACTCTTTCCCCATGTTCACTGGCCATTTTGATTTCTTCCCTGGTTGATTTCTTCGTGACCTTTGTCCAGCTGCCACGGGACTGCTCTGTCTGACTGGATCCTCTGTATGTGTCATGGGCTTATCATCTTGTTTATGTCAATGATAAATAACTTTTCCAGTTTATGGTTTGTCAGCTGACTGTTTATAATGTCCCGTTTTCATGTAGTCAAATCTGTCCATCATTCTTCTGGGGCCGTTACAAGGTGCTCCCCTCCTTCTCACACTAACTTGGGTTCCCGCCGGCATTTTAAGGAAGGCGGGGGCAGTGCGGCACTCCCTTCACCCAAGGGCACACACAGGTGGTCACTGAGTTGCAGCTGGGGGTCACAAAGTGTGAGAGCTCAAGTCTGTCATCTCCATGGGGATTTCCTGTAGTGGCTGTGGCCTTGGGAACAGTAGCTTCTTGCCGTGGAGAGTGAGGAGGACTCTGCAGAGATAACTGGACAAGGAAATACTTTGGACTCCTATTCTGCTGTGCGCCACAGTGTGACCAACAGAGACTCTGGAACCAGAGTCTTATGCTGCAGTTCCCGATTCCAGTCGTGTGATTTTGGCACTTCAAACCCGTTTCCTCATCTAGAAAATGGTCCCTATTTGTTCAATAAATAGTTCTCGAACCAACCAATAAAGCTTTAGTCTTTTCTTTACCCATGGCTCTTGGGTAAAGCACTGTGCACTTCAAAGCCACACTAGCTAGGTTGAACACTCAAAGGTGTTTTCCAGAGCAGGGACAGTGAGACCTGCGTGAGTACACTCATGCTGGAATGGTCACCGTGCATGCTTCCTGGCTGGACAAGGCTGAGTTTCCTTCCTCACCTGCAAAGTCCAGAGACCGAACTAGATAACCCTGAAGGCATTCCAGGGTTGTCCCTGACCTAATGTCAATGAAAGAAAAGAGCAGGTTAGCAAAGGGGATGGCACCTCTGAGAGCCCGCTGGCCTGGATGACTGGGCACTAAATCCTTCGTGCTTCCCGGCAAGCATGGGCTCTGGCTGCCTGCAAAGGGGTGCACGTCCTGGGTCTCAGTTCCAGCTGGTCAGTCTGGCTTTGTCAGCACTCTCCTGCCCCAGCCAGGTGGACCACACAGTTAAAACCTGGACAAGTAAAACTACAGAGAGCCCTTCTATACCTCTTAAAGAGCCAAACCATAATTTATAAAACATTTAGTCAAACTGTTTACCTTGATTCGAGGCATAGTCACTGTAGGTGGCTTTGCTTCAGCCACAAAACTGTGAGATGCTCCTTTTTCCACGAGGTAAGTGGTGTACGGCATGAATTTCACCCCCTTTGACCCAAACACAAAATCGTCTCTCAAGCCATCTATCAGCATAATGACAACTTTACTGAAAAGAGGAGGCGGACGGTTGGTCCAATTGGAAGTGGCTCCTAGAAAAAAGGAAATTGAATTTTAAACTTCATTTAGCATTCAGTCACCTATAATCCAGTTTCTGCCTACTTCTCTGGCACATATCTTGTCACATCTGTATGTACCAATCCCAGAAAAAAGTGCACAGTGCGGGCAAGGTGGCATTCCGAGTAAGCTCAGAGAGCCCCGGTATTAAGCAATCAGTTGCCCTTGGCATGGTGGGGAGTATAGGACAGGAGAGTCTCTTCTGGAGGGCCTGGGGCATCTAGGAAGCCTGACCTAGAATCACAGTCCTTCACTAAGTGGAAAGCAAAGCTTTTACAAACTGTGTGAACTTGGTCAGGGCCCCCCGTTGTCCAAAACGGGAGCGCCTCTACCTGGCAGGTATTGCTGTAGGTGAGAACCAGGAAGGGGTCCATGCGGGGCAGTCTTCCCTGCTGGCTGGTTAAAAGGTCTTGGAGAAACATTAAAAAAGAAAAAGGAAAAAAAGAAAAAGAAAGCAGGAATCTTTATCTATTGTGACTTACTGAGCAAAAAAAAAGTTGACGGGAAGAGAGTGGCTCAGAGTTGGCTCAGAACGGGGGTGCGGGCGTCCAGGCATGAAAGCCGGAGTGACGCGAGGGTCCGGCCGCGGGGAGCTTACTTTTCGGGGACCAAGAAGGAGGGTCGAAGTGAGGCTGACAGTCGAGGTTGCCAAGTTGCAGGGAAAAGAGGGCGGGAGCGGTAAGCAAAGGGGTCCTGGGCTGGGGACCAGGATGGAAGAGGAGCCCGGGAAGAGCCCGAGAGTAGGGACACAGGGAGTGGGACGCCGGGAACGGGTCCGTACCTGCCGAGGGCTCGGGCGCGGGGGTCTCCGCGTGGTGCTCCGGCCCGGAAAAGGAACGCACAGGGGCCGGGAAGAATCCGCGAAGGAAGAGCGCGACCCCGAGCACCTCGATCACTACGCAGCCTGCGGCGAAGGTCCCGGAGCCCAGCCTCATCGCGCACTCGCGCCGGGCGGGGACCCAGGTCCCGGAGCCCAGGCAGAGCAGCCCAGCGGCAGCCGCTTCGGGATGCAGGGAGCAGCCCCTGAGCCAGAGACCGGTGCCGGCCGCCCAGCGGTCACGCACCAGCGCGCCGGAAGTACGCACTAAAGGGGCGGGCACTTTCCGGCACCGAGCGGCCAGTCTTCTGAGGCCTTAACGTACTTCCGGCGCGCGGCCCCAAGCCCCACATTGGCTCCGCCCATCCTTGAATCTCCGGAAGTAAAGTTCCGCCAGAATTCACTAGGCTGTAAAAGCGAAAGGACTTTTCCCCCATTTTCTTAGTCTTTTACTGACTTCCAGTCCATTTAAAACCTGGTAATGTTTCTTCAAAACGGAATCCCTGTTGACGTGCAAATGGCTTCAGAGTTTTGGGAGAGGCCGTAGTGGCCGACACCTAAACACCGTCAGCGATCGCTGATCCAGCGCGCTCGGTGAAGCTGCCCATCATCTCCCGTGAACTCGCCCTGCCGCCACCGCTGAGTCTGCGAGTCCCGCAGGGGCTCTCCCGCTTCAGGATTTGGGCATTTACTTCACAGCAGAAAAGTCTGGATCAGGGTGTTTCTGTTCTGGTCGTAAAAGCTGCGTGTGATCACGTCCGGTGGAAAGATGCGTGCGCACAGCTCTAGGTGGCCCCAGACCTTTCTCGTGTCTCCTACCGACCTCCCACAGAGACTGCCCCTCGGCGGTCCGCTGGTCCACTCGGCCATCGCTGCAGGCAGCACCGCGGGCCTCCACACGGCTTCTCGAGTCTCAGGGTTTCCTGATCACGAGGGGGCGTGTTCTGAACACAGCTTCCCTATAAACCTTGGGTCTTCAGGGGGGATTAAGGTTCAACGAGGTCCTAAGCGTGGATCCCTAACCCAGATGTCAAGAGGGATCATCGGATGTGTGCTCTTCCACGAAGATATTCTCTCTCTCTCTCTCTCTCTCTCTCTCTCTCTCAGCTTGAACACGAGGCAGAGGCCATGTGAGCGCTGTCCTACGGCAGCTGCCTACAAGCTAAGACAGAGGCTTCAGCGGGAACTCCGCCTCCTCAGCTCTCGGAGCTCCTAGCCTCTGGAACACCTGCTGTAGGCCAGCCAGTCCGTGGTAAGTCGTCACAGCTGCCCGAGCTGGCTCGGCCGCAGACAGCTGGAAACAGGTGCTCACGTGAGTGCGTGTAAGAGCCTGTTCGCAGCAATCACAAGGCAGGAACAGCCCAAACGCCCACCGACAGCAGGAGAATAAACAGGTTGTTGTGTATATATTCCATGGATCATTATTCAGTCATAAAAAGGAATGAAGTACATGATACATGGATATATCTAGAAAACATTATACTAAGTGAAAGACAGACACAAAAGGTGACATATTGTATTATTCCATTTATATGCGATGTCCAGAAGAGAGAACCCCACAGTCAGAATGCAGACTTGTATCTGCCAGGGGCTAAAGGGAGAAACTGCTCAATGAACAAAGGGTTTTCCTTTCAACTGATGGAAATGGTTTAGGACTAGAGGTAATAGACTTGCTCAACATTGTAACTGTATATATGGCACCGTATTGGGTACTTTAAAATGGTTAATTTTGTTACATAAATTCCACTTTAAAAGAGTTCAGGGGTGGCATTCCTTGTGTGGGTCAGGGTGAGGGCGGGATGACCTTTAAGAAGCAGGTGAATCTGAGCAGCATCAGGGTGGTGGCCGTGGCCACCCTCATAGCTGCCCTGGTCCCCTGTCCAGCCTGCTGAGAGAACTGCCCTGGGAGGTGTGTGAACAAGAACCACCTTCTCAGGCCCTGCCAGGCCATAGGGATCCTGATGCGAGACGGTTCTGTGAAACCAACACAGATGGCGAATGGTAGGGTGTTCTTCATGGTAGACCGTGGGGGGAGGGAGTGGTCTCTCACTCTGCCTCAAGACCTGGGGTGGACCTCTTCCCTGTGTCAAGGGTGCTTGCTGGGGCTGGCCCTCCCAGCCTGAAGTACAAGAGGGGCCCACGATGGAAGGGTCGGTGTCAGGCTGGAGGACAGGAGAGGCCTCCTTCTGGGACTCAGGAGGGGTCTGGGCTCGGGGGCTGACCAGGCTGCTCATCCCCGTCGAGGCTTCAGGGGGAAGGCAGAACCCCAGCTTCCTCTGGGGCTGTCGGAAGCAGGTCCCATGCAGCAGGCCGGGGCACCCCTGGCCTCAGAAGAGGGTCCAAGAGAAGTCCCTGGAGACACACCAGCAGCAGGAGTAGGTCACTCCCTGAAGGAAGGGGGGTGAGCACAAAGCACCGAAGACCAGCGCAGAACTGACGTGGGACGGCTGGGACCCTCCCAGCTCTTCCAGGCCCAGATGCTGGGAATGCAAGCCTCCAAGCCTGGCTGCTGGCACAACACTGCCCCTACTGCCTCACCCTGTCACCCTCTTTGGTTTTGTCCCCTTACACGGACTAGTTAACATTTTGGAAGATATCGAGGGCTTTTGTATTTAAGGGACAGTAAGGCCTGAGAACGGAGCCCGGGAGTTCAGGGGCAGGCCCTAAAGGACACAGGCTGACACGAACCTTCTCCCCTGTCCCGGCTCTTCCCGCGGCTGAGTTGTGTCCTGTTGGGACACTGTTCCCTGGCCGCGGGCGCCCGGTGCAAGGCTGTGTTCTGGACAGAAAGTGAAGGCTGGGAGGGAGAGTCCTCTCAGCCCCAGCGTCTGCCCCCAGCGAGAGCACCAGGCGGTGGTCATGGGAGGCCTTGGGAGCCCCCTCAGCACTGCTGAGCCCCTGTCCCCCCAGCAGCCCTCAGGCCAGACTTGCCCTGAGCCTCTGCCCACGTCCCAGTTGGGCTTGTACCATGATGCAGGTGTGGGCCTTGTGGTAGTAGGAGGCGTGCATGCTCTGGAACCGCTCCTGGCCTGCTGTGTCCCAAAAGTCTGCAACGGGAACACAGCTTTGATCGCCTGACGGGAGCTGGAGGGAAGAGACGCTGTGCATCTCCACGCAGGTCTCTGTGCAGAGGCTCGGGGACCCCACAGTGTGCAGGTGTGTGTTGTCAGGACCCGGGCAGCCCCGTGTGCCCCGTGGGCCTGTGCACTGCTGTGTGCATGTGGGCAGGTGAGAGGAGACACAGGCCAGGGGGACAGAGAATGCAGCCCGGAAGCCCAAGAGGGAGAAGGCAGGTGCCCCCCTGCTCCATCCCACAAGATGCAGGGCCCTCCAATGCCAAAACCAGGTCAACGTCCCCATTGGGTGACCGCAGACGGTGGCCACAGCCGGGTGGGATTTGAGGCCTGGCCAGGGGTAGGCCTGTCGCCTTACTGACAGTCGGAACCCTTTGGGGAAGAGGACACTGGGACCACACTGCTCTTTCTGCACACCAGCTAGCTCGGAACCCCAGGCCAGAGTGCAGGAACGAGCCCCGTGCAGCCTGCCCCCCAGGCCTCCAGGCCCTTGGCGTCCTCCCTCCCACCCCCGTGCCCTGCCCGAGCATCACAGGAGCCGGCCTTGTCGCTCACCCACAAGCACCGTCCTGCCGTCCACTGTGGCCGTGTGCTTGTACAGGGTCAGGGCGTAGGTGGACAGCTGCTGGGGCCGACTACTGCCAGGTCAAGGAGTGAGGATGCACAAGGGAGGAAAGGGGGTATGGAATGGGCCTTCTCTCTCCTTTTCTTTTCAGCATCGTTTAGATTTTAAACTGAAAGGATGTTGGGTCAGGGGATCAGCCTCAGGCGTCGCTGGCACCAGCTCCCTGGAAGGCGAGGGGCGGGCACAGCTGGCAGCATGCCCGGCCACCCAGGTCCGGGGGACCCTGGAGCAGAATGTCACAGACTGGCTGTCGTGAATGCCCTCCCGTGCTTGGAAACGGCGACTGGAGCGGGACGGTGCTCCGGGAAGAAAGCCCGCACAGGCCAGCAGTGTACCAGCTGGGACCCGTCGTTCACCTGGGTGTGAGCCCCGTGGGAACACCGGGACAGCCCTTCGAGATGCTGCCAGATGCTGGGTGGGGGACCCTGTGAAGCCGGGACATGGTGGGGAGACCTGATGGGAGGTGCAGCAGGACACACTCCGACTGCCCGGGACTCGCCATGCCCGATTCTCACAGCACACAGCTCACTGCTGCGAGCGTGAGCACCAGCGTGCGGGGCTGCGGTCCACGCTGTCCACCTCTGCACACCGTGGGCACCACGGCCACCCCTGCTTTGCACATGGGACGCCGAGGCCGGGGGCTGTGCCCTCGGCCTGAAAGCTGATCTCCAGCATTGTGCGGGTCTTCCCGGCTGGGGTCAGGAGTCACCTGAGCACCGTGACCTTAACCAGCACCAAGCTCGCTGTCACCATGTGCTCGATCACAGCCCTGCAGGCGACACCCACTGAAACAGCAGTCTTTCCCTTACCAACTCTCTCTCAGGTAGAGGGGATGCTCATGAAACCAGGATTTGAATGTTCCGTGTATCATTGCATCCCAGGGTCTAGGTCCAAAACGTGTAGACTCTAACCACCATCCAAACACCACAGAAAAACTGGCAGCCATGCCTCCGTCCCCACGAGTAAAGGCTGAGTGATAGGCCTAGACTTCCTCGCTTTGGAGACTGTGACGAGGCCCCCAACCACAGCCCCAAGTCGGTGGGTATCCAACAAGGCCAAGCGGGGAACAGACTCCTGCCCACTACAGCATCCTCTTAGACCACAGCAGTCAGGGGTGGTGGGCGTGTGTGGTGCGGCCTCTTGGTGAAATAACATGGTGTTCAGAATGTCCAAGTTCCAGAGGAAAACCATTCATCACGCCAAGAACCAGGAATCCCTCCAACAGGATACAGCGCCCCGGCTGGTGTGGCTCAGTGGACTGAGTGCTGGCATGTCAACTGAAAGGTTGCTGGTTCAATTCCCAATCAGGGCACGGGCCTGGGTTGCAGGCCAGGTCTCCAGCTAGGGGCATGAAAGAGGCAACCGATTGATGTTCCTCTTGCGCATCAATGTTTGTCTCCTCTTCCTCCCTCCCTTCCCCCTCTCTAAAAATAAATAAAATAAAATAAATGCAAAATGACAACCCGCAGGCACCACCACTGTGAGGAGGGTCCAGATGTTACTCATCTGGCAAGGCCGCTGAAGCAGGTTCATGAAAACACACCACTGGGCAAGGGCAGATGTGCTGGAGGGAGATGGAAATACACGACGCTTCTTCAATGGACTATTTTTTCTGCACAGGAATAGAAGACATAAGTAAGGACCCAATGAGAGGAAGAATCAACGTCGTTAAAATGTCCACATTGCCCCGAGCAACCCATAGATTCAACGGAATTCCAATGAAAATACCAATGGCAGTTTTCACAGAACTAGGACAAATAATCCTGCAATTTATATGGAACCACAAAACACCCAAATAGCCACAGCAATCTGAGAAAGAACGAAGTTGGAGGTATCACACTACCTAATACCAAACTGTACCACAAGGCCATTGTAATCAAAACAGCCTGGCATCGGCATAAAAACAGACACGCAGACCAATGGGGCAGAAGAGAGAGCCCAGAAATAAACCCTCGCCTGTGTGGTCAATTAACCTGTGACAAAGGAGGCAAGAACGTACAATGGGGTAAAGACAGTTTCTTCAACAAAGGTGTTGGGAAGGCTGGACAGATACACACACAAAAACGAAAGCAGGCCACTTTCCTACTCCATATACAAAACCAACTAAAAATGGATTAAAAACTTATATATAAAACTTAAAACCAGAAAACTCCAATAAGAAAACACAGGCAACAAACAGTCTGACATCATTCTTCCTAATTTTTTTGTTTTGGATGTCTCCTTGGTCAAGGGGAATAAAGGAAAAAATAAGCAAACGGGACCACATCAGACTAAGCCAGAGCTGCACTGGGTGCTGGGGGCGTGAATTCGTGAAGACGGCCTGACACCAGCAAAACCTAAGCAGGGGTG